ATCATTTATGGTGGCATCGTCACAAGCACCTCGCTTCCCCCGAACCAGACAGTGTCACAAAATATTTGTTGCGCCTGTGATGAGNCTATGTTTCATGTAATCATCAGGCAGCTCAGTGAAGCACTCCCAGTTTCTAGCCTTGATGTTCTCCAGTATGTGAGGGTATTGCTCTTGTAGACCGTTCAGACTCAGTTGTTTCTCGTCAAGGATTTTCCGCTTCTTGAGCCATTCTCTATACAGCTCCCTAGAGCCTTTGACCCCAAACCTGAGTTGGAAGTCATCTCCTCTTTTTCTTCTTGCCTCAGCTTGAAGGTTAACAGATGGCAAGGTCTCCTCCTCATCAGACTGGGAGGGATGTGCAGCAGTAGGTCGAGATGATTCAGGTCGTGCACGCTTGGCTTGTTGTGCTTGACCCCTGGTGGAGGCCCTTTTCTTGGAAGATAGATTTTTCTTAGGCCATATCTGCAGAGAAATGAAATGTGAGCAACATAGCAGATATCAGGAAAAAATTACAAAGAACATCAAGTATGCGGTCGCATAACCACTATGCGGACCGCAAACCTGTCGCAGAACTTTTGTCTGCTGAAAGGAAACAATTATGCGATAGGTTATGCGATCGCATATCCATTATGAGGTTCGCATAACCATCGTAAAACTATATGCTTAGAAAGTACATCACACTATGCGATCGCAAAACCCACCGCAAAGATGGATTTGCGATCACAAATCAGCCGCAAACAGCATCTTACAAAGGGCCTGAAACTGCTTAGGTATGCGGTGGCTTTGCGGTCCGCATATCACATATGCGATCGCAAAGCCGCCTCAAATTGTCACCTTCCTCAGCCTACCTAGGGTTTGTTATGCGACAACAATGCGGACCACAAATCGACTATGCGGTCCGCAAAAGTCATCTTCCTCAACGAATTGAACTCCACCCTCTATAGTGGTGACCCTAGTTTCACTACCTAGCACTCTGATCCTAACCAATTATCCAAGAACCTACCCCCCCCCCCCCATTACGAGCAGATACCCAAAAAACGAAGAGGACAATAAAAGCAAAAACTAAGGGAAATAAAAACAGGAAGAACACAACAAAATTTAAACTAAACCTTACATGGATGAAATCGGGGAATGGAGAACATACCAGGAACGGAGAATTTAGAACACTTGGAAGATGAATGCCCAACGTGGGATCGTTGCTTGCTCTGTTCACTAGCCGTTTTTTCTTTCTCCCTTTTTTTTTTGTTTCGTTTTCTTTTTGTTCTTTTTTTTTGTTTTGCTTTGTTTTAGAGGGAAATCTGACTGCTGGTGTGTGTTTATGTGCGGGGGGATAGGGGGTACTTACCTGTGAAGTATGCGGTGGATAAGTCACCGCATAACACCTTATGCGATCGCAAAGTGTTATGCGGTGGTTTCGACTAGAGTTGTTCATTGGCACACAGCGATGCACTTGTGCGATCACATAACAGTAATGCGGTCCACAAAGTGCACATCGCCACCACATTTTTATCATCCATATTATCTGCACACACTGCCCATGTCTGCGACCACAATACGGTCCGCATAGTCAAAATGCGACCGCATATGTGTAGCAGACTTCCCATGGTGACTTTTCTTCCCTTTCACACGCAATTTTACCCTGTGTTATTATCTTTTGAATCACCTGCACTCTAACACACACTTTAAATTGCTCAATTAAATCTATCTAACAAAATTTAAAATTTAAAGGACAAAAAGGATGTTACCACGCATGGGTTGCCTCCCATGAAGCGCTTGATTTAACGTCGCGGCATGACGAAGTTGGCCTTTCTTTGTGTTCACTCATTGGTCGGGCATGGACCATCTTTGAGAGCCAACTTTTCCACCAAGTGTTTTTCTCCATCTTCGCCCAAGTAGTGCTTGACTTGCTGGTCATTTATTTTAAAGGTTCGGAGTCCATCCTCCGATTCTAATCCCATAGCTCCAAAAGGAGATACATCTAGCACTTTGAACGGACCGGACCATTTCGATTTGAGCTTGCCCGGAAACAATTTGAGCCTTGAGTTGAAGAGCAAAACCAAGTCACCCGACTTGAACTCCCTTTTCAAGATCTTTTTGTCGTGGACGAATTTCATCCTTTCTTTGTACATAGCTGCACTTTCATATGCGTGGAAATGGAATTCCTCCATTTCATTGAGTTGTGTTAACCTCAAATTTGCAGCTTCAGCCCAGTCCAAGTTCAACCTTTTTAAAGCCCACATGGTTTTGTTGTCCAGTTCTACGGGTAGATGACAAGCCTTGCCGAAGACTAACCAATAAGGAAGAGTGCCAATAAGGGTTTTGTACGCCATGCGGTATGCCCACAATGCGCGTCATCTAGCTTCCTTGACCAGTCGGTCCTGTTTGCATTAACAGTCTTTGCTAGAATATTCTTGATCTCCCGGTTGGAAACTTCAACTTGTTCTCTTGATTGGGGATGATAAGGTGTGGCCACCTTATGCTTGACGCCATATTTCTCTAGTAGCGCCGTGAAAGCCTTGTTACAAAATTGAGACCCACCATCACTAAGAATGGCTCTAGGAATGCCGAACCGCGTGAATATATTTTTCTTTAAGAACGTGGTCACACTCCTTGCCTCATTGTTTGGTAAGGAAATTGCTTCAACCCATTTCCACAGCTACCAAGATGTATTTCATACCACATGAACTTACAAAGGGGCCCATAAAATCAATTCCCCACACATCAAAGATCTCTATCTCCATCATAAAGTGCATTGGCATTTCATGCCTCTTGGAGATTGATCCTTGCCTTTGACATTGGTCGCAAGCCTTGACCATTTCATTGGCATCATGATAAATCGACAGCCAATAATAACCACATTCGAGCACCTTTGCTGCCGTTAGATTGCCCCCATGGTGACCCCCGACCGGTGAGTCATGGCATGCCTTTAGAATTGGCATAATCTCCTCTTCTGGAACACACCTTCTGATGATGTTATCAGCACAAACACGGAACAAGAATGGTTCTTCCCAATAGTATTGCAGACAATCTCTCCAAAACTTCTTCTTATGATAAGCTTCCAATCCATCCGGAATAAGGTTGCTAACCAAGTAGTTAGCAATATCGGCGTACCAAGGAGCAAAAGTGTTAGATAATGCCAATATGTGTTCATCCAGGAAAGCATCGTTGATTTCAAGATCTTCCTTTGGTCTCCCTACCTCTTCAATCCTTGATAAATGATCCGCCCTTTGATTTTCTGTTCCTTTTTGATCTTTGACTTCGAAGTCAAATTCTTGCAACAACAGGACCCACCGAATCAACCTAGGCTTTGCATATTTCTTTTCCATGAGATAGTGAAGAGCAGCATGGTCTGTGTACACTATCACCTTGGATCCCACCAAATAAGCCCGAAATTTCTCAAATGCATAGACAATGGCAAGAAGTTCTTGCTTAGTCACCGTGTAGTTCATTTGTGCGCCATTGAGTGTCTTGCTTGCATAATAGACCGGGTGGAGAACCTTGTTATGACGTTGTCCAAGCACGGCCCCAATAGCTACACCACTGGCGTCACACATGAGTTCGAATGGAAGAGACCAATCGGGTGTGGCAATAATAGGTGCCGTGGTGAGCTTTTGTTTCAATTCCTTAAAGGCTTTGAGGCACTTCTCGTCAAACACAAATTTTGCATCTTTCTCAAGGAGTTTGCACATGGGATTTGCAATTTTGGAAAAATCTTTGATGAAACGCCTATAGAATCCGGCATGCCCCAAGAAACTTCGGACACCTTTAACTGAAGTAGGTGGAGGAAGCTTGGAAATGATCTCGATCTTTGCCCGGTCAACTTCTATGCCATGTTTGGAAATTTTGTGGCCCAAAACAATGCCCTCGTCCACCATGAAGTGGCATTTCTCCCAATTTAGCACGAGGTTCGTTTCTTCACATCTCTTAAGAACTTGTCTAAGGTTGTCTAGACAATGCTCAAAAGAATCACCCACAACTGAGAAATCGTCCACGAATACCTCTAAGAAATTCTCCACCATATCGGAGAATATTGACATCATACATCTTTGGAAGGTGGCCGGAGCGTTGCATAACCCAAATGGCATCCGGCTAAATGCAAACGTCCCATATGGACAAGTGAATGTTGTCTTTTCCTGATCTTCCAATGCAATGTTGATTTGATTGTAGCCGGAGTATCCGTCCAAGAAGCAATAGAATGACCTTCCCGCTAGCCGATCAAGCATTTGATCAATAAAAGGCATAGGGAAATGGTCCTTGCACGTAGCACCGTTTAGCTTCCGGTAATCCATACACACCCTCCATTCGGTCACCGTTCTTGTTGGGATGAGCTCGTTCTTCTCATTTTCAATCACGGTCATGCCTCCCTTTTTTGGCACACATTGCACCGGGCTCACCCAAGAACTATCGGCAATAGGGTAGACTACCCCGACATCCAACCACTTGATAATTTCTTTCTTTACCACTTCTTGCATTGAAGGGTTTAACCTTCGTTGATGCTCCACACTTGGTTTACTCTCATTCTCCAATTGGATCTTGTGTTCGCAAATTCCGGCGAGAACCCCCGGCTATCCTCAATTGTGCATCCAATAGCTTGCCTATGCTCCCTTAAGACATTCAACAATTGCTCTACCTGCACATCATTCAACAAAGAAGAGACAATTACCGGTAAATATCATTTGAGTCAAGAAATTTATACCTCAAGTGCGGTGGAAGTGGTTTAAGCTCTAGTTGTGGTGGCTCAATGATTGAAGGCTTTGCGGGAGGAGTAGCTCTATTCTCCAAGTCGAGAGAGAGCTTCTTCGGAGCATAGGTATAGGACCCAAGCCCTTCCAATGCATTGACTGATTCCATATACCCCTCCATATCTTCACCATCAAAGTTTACCAAAATAGCCACCAATGCCTCACTGAGGCATTGTTCTTCCATCTTCATTTCAACCGCATCTTCCACTTCATCAACAACATCAATCACCGAGATGCTTTCATATGCATGTGGTAGTTTCATACCCTTGCCCTCCTGGAATATAACTCTTCATCGTTCATACGAAATTTGATCTCATTCCGTTCCAAATCGATTAGTGATCTTCCTGTGGCAAGGAATGGTCTCCCCAAGATGATAGGGATCTCTTTGTCAACTGCAAAATCAAGGATTACGAAATCGGCGGGTAGATGGAACTCTCCCACTTTCACAAGCACATCATCAACAATTCCCACTGGTCTCTTTATAGAACGATCGGCCATTTGCAACCTCATACTTGTAGGCCTCGGCATAACTAATCCCGCTTGCTTGTAAATAGCAAGAGGCATTAAGTTAATGTAGCTCCATTATCACAAAGAGCTCTTGCAAAATCACGAGCCCCAATAGTACATGGAATGGTGAAAGCTCCCGGGTCTTCTTTCTTTTGAACGGTGGTTGTTGCAATGATGGAACTAACCCGGTGAGTCACATTCACCACTTCATTCTTGGTAGTTCTCTTCTTTATGATCAAGTCCTTCAAATATTTCGCAAAACCCGGCATCTCTTGAAATGCTTCCACGAATGGAATGTTTACCGATAACTGCTTGAGAATGTCATAGAACTTTTCGAGTTTGCTATCATCAACCTTCCTTGCAAGTCTTTGAGGAAAAGGAGGAGGAGGTCTAGGAATAGGTGGTAGAGCTTTTGGTGTCTCTTTTACCTTTTTCTTTACCTCTTCCTGATTCACTTCTTGAACTTTCAACTCTTCCGGAACCTTTTCAACTTCAACAACCTTTGGCTCTTCAACTTCAACCTCTTGTTCGGACTCTTCTACTTCAACCACTCCGAGTGGTAATTGCCATGATGTGAGAAGTTGGACCACTTCCACTACCCTTTGGGTTCGCAATTATGTCACTAGGAAATGTTCCCTTTCGCTTTGGATTTTGTTCCCTAGAAAGGTCTCTCATTTGCATCTCCAATTTTTGAATGGGTGCGGTATGAGAACCCACAAGCTCGGTCATATTCCTTATAGAAGTGTCGGACCTCTCTTGATTTTGCAATACCCATTCAAGCATGCTTTCCAACTTGGAATCACTTGAGGACCCTTGATTTGAATATTGACCCTTTGGTGGAACATAAGGGTTTAAACTCCGATTTGAGAAGTTGTTGTTGTTGTTATTCCAATTTCCTTGATTTGAGCCACCTTGGTCATTTCACCATTGTTGGTTGCCTTGCCCTTGCGGGTTTGGCCTCCATTGATTTTGTTGTCCTTGACCTTGGTATTGTTGCCTTTGATACCCTCCTTGAGATTTGTTGACATAGTTTGCTTCCTCAAAGTCTTCATTTGATATAGGTTGCACATCCTCCACCACATTTACCTTCTTCGTTTGGCTTTCAGTGAACATCTTTGTCAACACATTGACATTGGTGGCAAGCCCTGCGATTCCTTGATCTCTTTCTTGGTTCTCCTTAATCATGTTGGTCAAGGAGGGAGAACCATATGCAATTCCACCTGTGGTGTCCTCTGAGTGCCAAGCTTGATTGTGTTGTGCCATTTTGTCAAGGATTTGTGTGATCCTTGCGAATGTCTTGTCCATAAAAGATCCATCAGCTGCATTCTTGGCTATAGATTGGTTCATAGCATCTAAACCCATGTAGAATTTCTCCAAGAAGATAGAGTCCGGAAAACCATGATTGGGTGACCTCACCAAGTATAACTTGAATCGATCCCATGCCTCATGTAGATGTTCTCCCGGTAGTTGCTTGAAAAAGAAAATTTTATCCCGGAGCTCAGATTTCTTGCTTTGCGGGAACCATTTAGCTAAGAATGCTCGGACAAGTTCAGGCCAAGAATGAATGGAATTTGGTGGCAAATTTTGAAGCCATTTCCTTGCTTCCCCAGCCGGTGAGTACTTGAACACCCTCAACCTTAGGGCATCATCTGAGACGTTGTTCTGCTTGTGCATCGCGCACACACCCAGGAAGTTTCTAAGATGTTGTGTCGGATCATCAATAGTGGAATTCCTGAAAAACCCTTCCACTTTGAGCATTAGGATTAAACCATGTTCCACCTTGAAAGTGGCAGCGCCAACTATCGGAGGTATGCATTTGTATCCTCAATGTACTCATCTATGTCTGCAAAAGGATTTTCTTCTTCCTCATATTCAGCCATGTGTTCCTATCAACACCAAGCAAAACAAGCAAAGTGTGATGGAATAGAAGAAAACGGAAAGTAAAGCACACACTAATTAGTAATTTCAAAACCGTATTCCCCGGCGATGGCGCCAAAATTTGATACGCTCAAATTACACTTTTAATTAAATAGTGTAAGGCGGTCGGTGTCAAATATAATAAGCCAACGAGGTAGGGGTCGAATCCCACAGGGAATATGGTGTGTAAAGTTTACTTGAGTAGTGTGGAACTTCACTTAGGTCGTAATTCTATTCTGTTAACGTGACGAGAGAATGATATGATTGTGAATTAAAGAGATAACTAATTGTGATTATGAGAATGCAAATGATTTGATTAAGGAAACCAAGGTTGTATCCCCGTCAATGGAATGTAATGCTGTCGGTGTTAATGTGTGACGACCCGGCCCGTCGTCACGTGAGTTATGCCCCGTTTCCCCCATTTTTCTGCTTCCTTATGTTTTATTATAAGAGTCTTGAGTGAATGAGTCGATTTGGATCAGTTTCGGATGGAAATGAGACATATAGTCTCTTTAAGGAAGGTTTGTATTGGAAAAGTCAACCGGGTGTTGACTTGTGAGTTAGAGGGCTCGAATGTGATTTCCGGTGATTTGGTTAGCTTCGGGGGATGATTTGTGACTTAGGACTGTGATCAGAATTGATTTTGGAGGTCCGGTGTAGAATTAGGCTTGAAATGGTGAAGTTAATATTTTGGCGAATCCCGGTTGATAGGTGAGATTTTGATCCGAGGGTCGAAATGGGATTCCGAGAGTTTCTGTAGCTTCGTTAGGTGATTTTGGATGTGTGTGCAAAATTTCAGATCATTAGGAGGTGTTTTGGTCAGGTTTTTGATCAAATGCGTAATTCGGAAGTTTTAGAAGAACTTAGGCTTGAATCCGATGTAATTTGATAGTTTTTGTGTTAATTGTGGTGTTTTGATGATTGGAACAAGTTTGAATGATGTTTTAGGAAGGGGTGCTCTTTTAGTTGAGGTCCCGGGGGCCTCAGGGTGATTTCAGATGGCCATTGGGATGAAATTTGGACTTATGAGATTGCTGAGTATCTGGCTTCTGGTATTTCCGCATCTGCGGAAAAGGAATCGCAGATGCGGTTGCGCAGGTGCGGAAGAAGACTCGCAGATGCAGTCATTTGGCCTGGATGGATGATGCGCAGATGGCGGAAGGGGAGCCGCATCTGCGACGACGCAGATGCGCTGGAATAGTCGCTGGTCGCGAAAACGTGAGGCCTTGGTGCTTCCGCAGAAGCGGCAAGATCCGCAGAGCGGGTCGCATATGCGGATCGGNATATATTTTTCTTTAAGAACGTGGTTCTACACTCCTTGCCTCATTGTTTGGTAAAGGAAATTGCTTCAACCCATTTCCACAGCTACCAAGATGTATTTCATACCACATGAACTTACAAAGGGGCCCATAAAATCAATTCCCCACACATCAAAGATCTCTATCTCCATCATAAAGTGCATTGGCATTTCATGCCTCTTGGAGATTGATCCTTGCCTTTGACATTGGTCGCAAGCCTTGACCATTTCATTTGGCATCATGATAAATCGACAGCCAATAATAACCACATTCGAGCACCTTTGCTGCCGTTAGATTGCCCCCATGGTGACCCCCGACCGGTGAGTCATGGCATGCCTTTAGAATTGGCATAATCTCCTCTTCTGGAACACACCTTCTGATGATGTTATCAGCACAAACACGGAACAAGAATGGTTCTTCCCAATAGTATTGCAGACAATCTCTCCAAAACTTCTTCTTATGATAAGCTTCCAATCCATCCGGAATAAGGTTGCTAACCAAGTAGTTAGCAATATCGGCGTACCAAGGAGCAAAAGTGTTAGACAATGCCAATATGTGTTCATCCGGGAAGGCATCGTTGATTTCAAGATCTTCCTTTGGTCTCCCTGCCTTTTCAAGCCTTGATAAATGATCCGCCACTTGATTTTCCGTCCCTTTTCGATCTTTGACTTCGAAGTCAAATTCTTGCAACAACAGGACCTGCCGAATCAACCTAGGCTTTGCATCCTTCTTTGCCATGAGATAACGAAGAGCAGCATGGTCTGTGTACACTATCACCTTGGATCCCAACAAATAAGCCCGGAATTTCTCAAAGGCAGAGACAATGGCAAGAAGTTCTTGCTCAGTCACCGTGTAGTTCATTTGCGTGCCATTGAGTGTCTTGCTTGCATAATAGACCGGGTGGAGAACCTTGTTATGATGTTGTCCAAGCACTTCCCCAATAGCTACACCACTGGCGTCACACATGAGTTCGAATGGAAGAGACAATCGGGTGTGGCAATAATAGGTGCCGTGGTGAGCTTTTGTTTCAATTCCTCAAAGGATTTGAGTCACTTCTCGTCAAACACAAATTTTGCATCTTTCTCAAGGAGTTTGCACATGGGATTTGCCATTTTGGAAAAATCCTTGATGAAACGCCTATAGAATACGGCATGCCCCAAGAAGCTTCGGACACCTTTAACTGAAGTAGGTGGAGGAAGCTTGGAAATGATCTCGATCAATGCCCGGTCAACTTCTATGCCATGTTTGGAAATTTTGTGGCCTAAAACAATGCCCTCGTCCACCATGAAGTGGCATTTTTCCCAATTTACTACGAGGTTCATTTCTTCACATCTCTTAAGCACTTGTCTAAGGTTGTCTGGACAATGCTCAAAAGAATCACCCACGACCGAGAAGTCGTCCATGAATACCTCTAAGAAATCCTCCACCATATCGGTGAATATTGACATCATACATCTTTGGAAAGTGGCCGGAGCGTTGCATAACCCAAATGGCATCCGGCTAAATGCAAACGTCCCATATGGACAAGTGAATGTTGTCTTTTCCTAATCTTCCAATGCAATGTTGATTTGATTGTAGCCGGAGTATCCATCCAAGAAGCAATAGAATGACCTTCCCGCTAGCCCATCAAGCATTTGATCAATAAAAGGCATAGGGAAATGGTCCTTGCACGTAGCACTGTTTAGCTTCCGGTAATCCATACACACCCTCCACCCGGTCACCGTTCTTGTTGGGATGAGTTCGTTCTTCTCATTTTCAATCATGGTTATGCCTCCCTTTTTCGGCACACATTGCACCGGGCTCACCTAAGAACTATCGGCAATAGGGTAGACTACCCCGGAATCCAACCACTTGATGATTTCTTTCTTCACCACTTCTTGCATTGAAGGGTTTAACCTCCGTTGATGCTCCACACTTGGTTTACTCTCATTCTCCAATTGGATCTTGTGTTCGCAAATTCCGGCGGGAATCCCCCGGATATCCGCAATTGTCCATCTAATAGCTTTCCTATGCTCCCTCAAGACATTCATCAATTGCTCTACCTGCACATCATTCAACAAAGAAGAGACAATTACCGGTAAAGTATCATTTGAGCCAAGAAATTTATACCTCAAGTGCGGTGGAAGTGGTTTGAGCTCTAGTGTGGTGGCTCAATGATTGAAGGCTTTGCGGGAGGAGTGGCTCTATTCTCCAAGTCGAGAGAGAGCTTCTTCGGAGCATAGGTGTAGGACCCAAGCCCTTCCAATGCATTGACTGATTCCATATACCCCTCCATATGTTTACCATCAAAGTTCACCAAAATAGCCACCAACGCCTCACCGAGGCATTGTTCTTCCATCTTCATTTCAACCGCATCTTCCAACATCAATCACTGAGATGCTTTCATATGCATGTGGTAGTTTCATACCCTTGCTTGCCTGGAATGTAACCTCTTCATCATTCACACGAAATTCGATCTCATTCCGTTCCGAATCCATTAGTGCTCTTCTTGTGGCAAGGAATGGTCTCCCCAAGATGATAGGGATCTCTTTATCAACTGTGTTGATACCCAATTTTTCCCTATGTATTTTTTTTCATATACAAAATACTTTCAAAATAACATATATATGCATATAAGCATGCCCAAGTGTTTTGGTATTTTTCATAAATTTTAAAGATTTTTAAAATCAATTTATTGTCCATTTTAGCAATAAAAAAATCAATAACTATTCCCAAAACTATCAACTTTGGTGAATAGTTTATTTCATTCTCATACTTACACCAAAATATAGTTAAGGTGTTTTTTGCATATTTTTACAATTTTATTTGGTATTTTTAAAAAGCCAAAATACATACAATTCCATTTTTAGCCTATTTAAGGATTAATAGCATTTCTATAATTATAAAATTGGTTCCAACTTTTTTTTAATTAACATTTATATATTACTAATTGGTTCAGTGCTTTTAATTTGTTTTTAAAATCATGTTACTATTTTTTATAAATAAAAAGGTAAAACTGGCTATTAACATTTAGCCTCATTTCATTTCAATTACAGCCTCTTTTACATTTCAATTTTAACCCTTAATTGACCCAATCTCAACCCCAACCGGACCGGCCCATATTTTTTGACCCAACCCATAACCCTATTCAAACGACCCTACCCGGTTCCCACCTACCCCTTTAGATCTAGGCCGTTGATCGTACATATCGACGGCCATAATTCCCCCATACCATTTTAACCCCAAATGACCTACCCTAATCCCTCATTCCCCACTTCTCAGCCGCCTCTGAATCCCAAACTCTCTCAAACTCTCTCAAGCTCTCCGGAACCCTAGCCTCCTCCTACCCCTTTTCAACCGCCTGTCACCGGAATCCATGGCTTCTCAGGCCATGGATAGTTGGTACTCACCTACCTTCACCAGTAAGCCATGGTTGTTCGAAGCTTCGAGACATGACCTTGATGATTCCCTCTCCGATCT